AGCGAGCCGGAGGCGAGCCCCTCTTGACGGCGACAACGACCAGGGCGAGCGCGAAGACGACGGCTACCACGACAGGGGCTGCGGCAACGACCGCGAGAAACCTCAAGGACCAGCCGCAGCGGCAGCAACGCCCAAAGCGAAGCCGAAGGCAGAGGCCAAGCCAGCAAAGACCCTGGAGATGGAGTTCAAGGACGCGGAGGACTGTTACGATTGGAAGGTCCACGGGCTCAAGAAGCGCCAAAACAAACTGGGCCTACAGGTGAGCGGCAGCCGCGAGGCGCGCATCGAGAGGCTGAACGGCTACTGCGAGGGCCATGCTCAGGCGAAAAAGGGGCGTAGCATGGCCAGGGCGGCTGGGGCGCCATGTTCGGGAAGCTCGACGCGGATGCTGGGCGAGAACATCAGGCGCGGGGGCCGCGGCGAGCGCGGACATCGCGGGCGGGGCATTCGTCGCCCGCTGCGCGCGGAGATGAAAAACTACAGGACTAGTCAGGGGCGCCGCGAGGAAATCAGAAGCGACATCGACAAGAGGGCCCTCGCCAAGCCGACGATGGAAAAGTCAGCGAACAAATAGCCGGGCGAAGGGCCCAACCATATCCAGTTCTGAGCGCCGCAATTGTGAGTATCTTCTCCAGTGGTGCCCACGAACCGCACGAGGGGCGCGCCGAAATGTTGCGGGGTACACAACGCGAAGGAAAACGATTGGTCTAGCGAGGGACTAAGCGCGGGTGAATCTGAGCGCGAGTGAATCCACGTGTGAATGAGTCTGCGTGCGAGCGAATATATTTGCACGAGTGCGATCATGGCTACGCTTCGTGTGAACGTATATGAGTGTGAATGGTTCGGGCATGCCTGTCTGCGCGCTCGCGACACTGAGCGCGGCCGCCGCAGAAAGCTTCCGCGGGGGCCCCGGCGGCAGCGCCCGCGCGCCGCGACGCCCATGTCGGCGCGCCCCTCACGAGGATCGCGCCCGCTTCCTTCCTTTGTGTTCCTCCTTCTTTGCCCGCGCACGCCAAAGTTCAAAGCTGCGGGCGCAGCGCGGCGCGGAGTCCCCGCGACGCGCGCCGGTCGCCCCAGAAGGGCCCCAGCAACGCTCTCGGGTCGTCCGCTGCGCGGAGCAAAGAGAGCTAGCTAGCTGGCTGGCTGGCTGATAGCGGGCAAGGCTCTGACCGCCGGGCGCCCGAGCGACGACGGGCGAGCGAGGCGCAGGGAAGAACGCAGCGCGGAGTTCCCGCGACCCGCGCTGGTCGCCCAGGGAGGGCCCCAGCGACGCGCGCGGGTCGTCCGCGGCGCGAGGCGGATGATCCCCAACGCGCCCACGGCCGCCAGCATGCCGCGGGGCGATCCGGGGCCGCCGCCGGACGAAGACGACGAAGGGGGCGACGACATCCACCAAGCCACTCCTCCACCGCTCGTTTACAGCGACCACGGCGAGAACACCGGAAAGACCCTCGCTGGTGGAATGGAATCTCCCGCGGATGCAAAGCAACATGCATACGGGTGGGAGCGGGCCTCCTCCTTCTCCGCCCCCTCCTTCTCCCCAGCGGTCTGGAGGAAACCTTGAGCTTGGCGGACGTATAATAACGGTGGCATTGGCGCCTTCGGTGGAGCCCCTTATGGGGCCAGGAAGCGTGTGAGGGTGTGCCGAAATTCGCGTGGGGGGCGCATGCGGGCGGTGGCACTGGGGCCTTCGGTAGGCTCCCTATGGGGCCGCGAAACGTGTGAGGGGTGTGCCGAAATCTGTGTGGGGGACGCATGCGGGCGGTGGCACTGGGGCCTTCGGTGGAGATCCCTATGGGGCCACGAAGCGTGAAACGGGTGGGCCGAAATGTGCGTGGGGGACGCATGCGGGCGGTGGCCCAGGCCCTTCGGTGGAGCTCCCTATGGGGCCACGAGACGTGTGAGGGGTGTGCCAACATGGGTGTGGGGGACGCATGCGGGCGGTGGCACTGGGGCTTTCGGTGGAGCTCCCTGCGGGGCCACGAAACGTGAGAGGGTGTGCCGAAATGAAATGGGGGACGCATGCGGGCGGTGGCACTGGGGCCTTCGGTGGAGCTCCCTATGGGGCCACTGAATTTGTGAGGGATGTGCCGAAATGTGTGTGGGGGACGCATGCGGGCGGTGGCACTGGGTTCTTAGGTGGAATTCCATATGGGGCCACGAAACGTGTGAGGGATGTGCCGAATTGTGTGTGGGGGGGGCGCGTGCGGGCGGTGGCACTGGGGCCTTCGGTGGAGCTCCCTATGGGGCCACGAAACGTGTGAGGGTGTGCCGAAATGGGTGTGGGGGACGCATGCGGGCGGTGGCACTGGGGCTTTCGGTGGAGCTCCCTGTGGGGCCACTGAATTTGTGAGGGATGTGCCGAAATGTGTGTGCGGGGGGCGCGTGCGGGCGGTGGCGCTGGGGCCTTCGGTGGAACCCCCGATGGGGCCACTAAAAACGGCGAGGGATGTGCCGAAATGTGTGGGGGACGCATGCGGGCGGTGGCACGGGGGCCTTC